GCGGGGCAGCCGCGGCCGCAGCAGCAGGTAGGGCCGCCCGGCGAGTGCGGGCCCAGCCGCGGCCCGCACCTCCCCTCACCCCTCCTCTTCTCTCTTCTCCTCTCGTTGTTTTCAAGATCGCCCAAGAGGAAGAGCAAGTCCGGGCGGAGGAGCCGATCCCCGCGCGGCAGGAGGAGCCGGAGCCCGCACCACGTCGCCGTGAAGGTGAAGCAGGTAAATGGCGCTGTCGGTAGCGGCGGGGCCCGGTGCTGCCCGCGGAGGCGTTAGCGGGGCCGGGCGCGCTCCTGGCCGCGCAGCAACAGTGGTTCCTGTTGACACTCGGCCATGCGAGGTACGGAAAATGACTTTTCACCTGGTAGTTCTTCTCTCTTAGTCCTCATAGTGTGTCCCGTCAGGAAAATAAGAGTCTTGGTGTTTTAATAGCTCGTCCAGCCTACCCCGGGCTTTGCCGATGGGGACAGGGTGTGCACACGTGTGTGTGAACCCACCCAGCCTTTGCCACTTGTGCCAGATCCCTGCAAGTTTCTTCTGTGCCCAGAGCAGGTGACACATCGTGCCATTTCTTGATCTTGCTTTATTCAGTGCAACGTGCAGGAATCCGGATAGTTTGGCAAGTTTCTCTCGCTTGCTGGGTCTGTGCACAGCACAGCCGAGCACGTGTTGGATTGTGATGTTTTTAAAAGCCGAGGGAGATTCACAGCTCTTTCATTCTAATGCTGAATACGTCACTGTAAGCGGTTCTTCATTGCAGGAGCGAGACGATCATTGCCGTAGAGGAAACGAGGAGCGAAAGCAGAGGTACCCCTCAGAACAAGAACACAGGAGAGAGAGGAGCGGTGACAGGGATAGGCACAGAGACCACTCAGACAGAAGGAAGAATCCAAACGACAGGCCTGGAGTTCGAGGCCACGAGCGAGAGAGGGATGTGCAGAACATCCGTGAGCAGCAGGCGGAGAGGGAGTTCTATAACGAGAGACGACGAGAGCATCGACAAAATAACGAAGGCAGCGGTGGTGACCAGAATCCGGAACTCGGGCAATCTGATACCAAACCTAAAGAAAAAGCTGCTGTGAACAAAGAGAAGCCAAGCTTTGAACTGTCTGGGGCGCTGCTGGAGGATACCAACACTTTCCGAGGTGTTGTGATCAAGTACAGCGAGCCCCCCGAAGCTCGGATTCCGAAGAAGCGATGGCGCCTCTACCCTTTCAAAAACGACGAGTTTCTCCCGGTGATGTACATCCACAGGCAGAGTGCATACCTGCTGGGCAGGCACCGCCGCATCGCCGACATCCCCATCGACCACCCCTCCTGCTCCAAGCAGCACGCCGTGTTCCAGTACCGGTGAGTATCACCCCGCTCCTCCTCCTCCTCAAACGGGCTCAGCCAGGAACCCGGGAAGGACAAGAAACAAACAAAAAGCCCCTGGATGTGCAGAGTCGGGAGGTAGGAGTTGGCTGTAAGTATGTTAGAGAGAGCTGGAATTTATGTTTGATGGCTGTATATCATCTGAGCAGTAATCAAAACCATCTGTAATTCCTCTCATTTAACTGCAAGCAGCCTTTTAGTAAGACAAACAGCGCAGCGGGGTTAAACACAGATGTATTTTTTCACTGAAAGGGTTCTCAGCCATTGGAATGGGCTGCCCAGGGAGGTGGTGGAGGCACCATCCCTGGAGGTGTTCAAAAGACGGGTTGATGTAGTGCTGGGAGGTATGGTTTAGTGATGATGCTCCTTGTTTGTTGTGTGGGTGTCTATTTTTGTCAGTTAGGTTGACGGTTGGACAAGATGATCTTTAAGGTCCCTTCCAACCTAGAAAATTCTGTGATTCTGTGTGCGTGTCCAACCTAGAAGATTCTGTGATTCTGTGTGCGTGCAGCTGCACTGGAATAAACCAGCAGGTGGAACTGGCAGTAAAAGTGTTGCAAGGAGAGGTTTTATTCGTTTGGTCTTTGACAACAAATCCTGCTGATGTGGGAAGCAGCGGGGCTCGCGTGCTGCTGGAGACAAAGATGTCTCTTAGGGAACAGCCATCTGTTCTGCTGCCGAGATTGCTGCGGTACATCCTCTGGGGTTTAGAATCATAGAATGGTTTGGGTTGGAAGGGACCTCAAAGATCATTGAGTTCCAACCCCCCTGCCCTGGGCAGGGACACCTCCCACCAGGCCAGGTTGCTCAAGGCCACATCCAGCCTGGCCTTGAACCCCTCCAGGGATGGGGCAGCCACAGCTTCTCTGGGCAACCTGTTCCAGTGTCTCACCACCCTCATAGTAAAAAATTTCTTCCTGATATCTGATCTGAATCTTTTTTCTTCCAATTTAAAACCATTTCCCCTTGTCTTATCATTACCCTTCCTGGCAAAGAGTCCCTCCCCAGCTCTTCTATAGGCACCCTTCAGGTATTGAAAGACCGCTATAAGGTCTCCCCAGAGCCTTCTCTTCTCCAGGCTGAACAATCCCAGCTCCCTCAGCCTGTCTTCATAGGAGAGGTGCTCCATCCCTCATCACCCCAGGTGATGTCTGTCGGGGTCCTGGTCTCTCATTGCTCTCCTCAGAGTGTTGAGGTCTCTGTAAGCACAGGGAGGTGTTCCACGCTGCTGGGGCTCGCCGTGGAAACCCTTCTGTCTCCCCGTTGTGACCGAGGTGATGTGTTTGTTTGTTTCCCCAGGCTGGTGGAGTACACTCGTGCTGATGGCACCGTGGGCCGCAGGGTGAGGCCCTACATCATCGACCTGGGCTCGGGGAACGGCACCTTCCTCAACAACCAGCGCATCGAGCCCCAGCGCTACTACGAACTGAAGGAGAAGGACGTGCTGAAGTTTGGGTTCAGCAGCAGGGAATACGTGCTCCTCCACGAATCCTCGGATAAATCGGAGGCCAACACAAAGGACGATGACGATGAGGAGGAGAAGGAGGAAGAGTCTGACAGTTAACAGATGAGGAGGAGGTCGGGGAGGGCAGGGGAGAGGAGTTGAGCACGATTGGGATGGAAACATTGGAGCATCACAGCACTGATGCCTCTTATTGCCTTAAAGTCCTTTTTCTGTTGCTGATCTGTTCTCGTAGTTTATTTTGGGGGACTTCACTGGTTTTTCATCTTGGATAGTTTTGCATATCAGGAAATACACCTTTTTTTTCTTTTTTCCCCCCCAACAAGGAAAAGAGCCCCTGGATGTGAAAGCTCTGATGCTGGAAATACTCAACAAATGTTGAAAGACTGTCCCCTTCTAGGAAACAGTGTAAACCACAGCCGGCATATTTATTTTTATTATTTTTATTAACTGGTCTGTCATAGCCCTTTGAAAATGCGAGTTAACTGAAGTAGTAGTTAGAAAGTAGCCCGATGTGTTTTGTAACGCTCCAGTTTGGTGGATTTTGCCAAATTCCCTGACCTGCTGGGGGTTGTAGGCTGGAGACTTCACCGGGGTCGGTACTGACCAGGCGGGAGTGTTGCACAGCCCCTCGGGCTTGGGGAGTTCACCTTGGGGTGACTTTCAGGGCCGGGCATTTCACTGGAATATACTCCCTGGGAACTGCAAGGTGCTCTGGAACAGATATTAAATGCTTCCTGGGATTTTGGGGGGACAGTCCTGTGATTTGGGGGCTGAGGTCTCGGTCAGGGTCTGCCCCCAACATGTCACAACCCACGATGCTGAAACTGTCCCCGGGTGGGGGGTGTCTGGGGCTGAAGCTGAGGCTTTATTTGTGATACCACCCCCACCCTCCCTGTTTTCTGTTTGTACTGTGCATAAATACCTTGTATGTGGTGACGTGGTGTTAACAAGAGTTTGCACTACTTAAGTTTTCTTTTTAGAAAAAGGTTGTACTGTCACTTGTTTATAATAGTTTTCCCCCCTGTGACAGAGAACAAAGCTTTAGGAAGAGAAAAACCAGCTCCACTCACTGAAAGTACCCACATCTTGCATATTTTTTGGGTGTCTTCTCCCCGTGGTTTGCTTTATGGTCTAAGAAATTTTCCACACTGTTTACTACTTTGCCTGGATGTTTGTTCTGTGGTCACCAGCTCTCCATCCTGCTGTGTATATAGTTGTGTATACGGGTGGCGCGTATTGTACACACGGGCTGGGACATTTATAGTGTAAATATGGGGCATTGATGTAGGTTTTCAAAAGGACGGTAGAATGAGTTTTGACGGGGAGGATCTCCTTTATATATACTCTAGGGGTTTTTAAATAAATAATTTGTAAATTTAGCCCAGATGACTCTTAGGTGTAACGTTTTTCTAGCGTCCCCTTTGTTCCCTGCACGTTCCTTGACACCTTTCGGTGCTGATTTCGGTATTGAGGGCACCAAATAACTTTTAAAAATGAATAAACCCGGGGGATTGGTGTTGTTGAGAGGCTGGGGGGGGGGTCGTAAGGGGGGGGGAACCGGCCCCTCCGCTGGTTGGGACCGGGGACCCTGCACGTTCCTTGACACCTTTCGGTGCTCATTTCGGTATTGAGGGCGCCAAATAACTTTTAAAAATGAATAAACCTGGGGGATTGGTGTCGTTGAGAGGTGGGGGAAGGGGGAGGTCCTGGGGGGAGGGAACCAGTCCCTCCGTCGGTTGGTTCCGGGGGAGTTCGGGGAAGCCAAAAAGGGATCGGGCAAACGGACCCGGGGGTTGAAGTGCCCGGTTCGGAAGGTGCTGTTTACAGGGCTCGGTACTGGGGCCAATTCTCTTTAACATCTTTATCAATGATCTGGACGAGGGGATCGAGTGCACCCTCAGTCAGTTGGCAGACGACACCAAGCTGGGTGGCAGTGTTGATCTGCTGGAGGGTAGAGAGGCTGCAGAGAGATCTCGACAGGCTGGATGGATGGGCCGAGACCAACGGGATGAGGTTCAATAAGGCCAAGTGCCAGGTCCTGCCCTTGGGTCACAACAACCCCAGGCAGAGACAGGCTGGGGGCAGAGTGGCTGGAGCTGCCTGGCAGAAAAGGACCTGGGGGTGTTGGTCGACTGTCGGCTGAACAGGAGCCAGCAGTGTGCCCAGGTGGCCAAGAAGGCCA